CGTTTAATGTTGTCTTAGGGGAATCAGGAGTTTGATCAGATTCGGTGAAGGTATAGACAAATGGCTTTCATCCATGATAAATTGTGGATCATTATTTCATAGAGGGATGCTGCTGAAAAACTCAATCGATGTAGATATTTAGTTCAGAAACACGATGAAATTCTTAATAGAGCTCTTCATCGGAACTGACCAATCGTTTTCCTGTAGTGTTGGAGGCTACCCTGCTATGGTTTCATAATGTACATTTTCCCCTATCGCTCTACTTCTTCCGTCTCCAAACTTAACTTACTTGAATTCACATTCCAACATTGATGGCCGTTTTTCGGAAAGTCAATAGCTCGACAGCTATTGGCTTTCCGGACAACATGGATCTTTCACGCTAATCTCCGTAAATGACATACTTCCTCGCTGACGCATCGATTTGTTTCCATGAGAGAGTCGCAGTCCCCATGGGATGCTACAAATTGCTGGGGTGTGTTTATCCAATAAGGGGATGTCTAGGAGAATCGAATTTCGGTGTCCGAAGGAGAAATGAGCATTTCTGAGAGCTCATTCAGGAAGAAAAATGAGGATGTACGGGCGAGGCAGAAAAACGGGTAGCAACGGAATTAATCTAGCACACATCATTTCTAGGGTCAATTTTGGTTATTTATGGCTTGCTAATTGGAAATTGGCAGCTATCATCCTAACTATTCATTAAATTTTTCTTAGTGGTCGGTGGTCTTCTCATTCAAGTCCTCTTTTTGTTATCAGATGGAAAAAAGAATCTTCTATTTGCTTGAATTCTAGGGAACTCTATAGACTTTGTGCCACGAGGTTTTTTTTTAGCCAAATCGATTAAATTTTGAAACGCTACTTAGTTTTTCGAAGTCAAATTGATTGCTTTACGCCGTGCAATTTCATCTGAGCAGTTCCCCTAGCACACTTTTAAGCTCCAATGGTTTCGATTTTCCTCCAATTTACGGTCACGGTATTATTGATATATTTTTGCTTTTTTTGTTTATCGTTGAGCAGCCATCCTTTTTTGATGACAGGCTTTGGAAAGCAAGTAACGTCAAAGCGCCTGACTAGTAGAAGGGAAAGAGTTTAGGTACCTATGGGTAAGTAAAACTGCTTCCGGTGATGATGCGATGTTTCATTTATCTTCCATGTTTTCATTTGGTTTTCTTTTATTTTTCTTTAATTGGATTCCAGGGTATCAGGTTTTGTTACGGATATCAATTTGTCAATCAGGGAAACAGCTATTTTAAAACTATTACATTTACAATTTTTAGGCATGTCCAGATGCAAACCGGCCCAGGACACCGCTATATATTCACTATTCGTAATCATCCGTCGATGAAGAGTAAAGAAATCGCCTTCGCAATTGCTCAGCGAAAATGGGCTGTCCTCAGTCTAGACCAGGAAGTAATGGTGGCACCGTTTACGTTTAAGGTAATTATTCGATCAAAATGAGTTGATGGCAAGCACTAATCATTATTTTGAAGAGCAACCAATACATCGGAGCCATAACCCTCTCTGCAGACTTCCAACTAAAGAAAAAGTGAGTGGAGGTATTTCAGGATGGAGCTGTTTTCATTGTTGATGGTAATTCTTTTTCAGTGCCACTTCTGATCCGTTGAATTCTGATTTCATGGCACGTGAATTTTCCATGCAATTTGGTGGTATGGCATTCACCAGAGGAGAATTACTCGTTTTCCAATTCAATGATCCAGAGAAGGGAAAAAATTTTACGTTATCTCTCGTCGTGAAGAACCTCGAAGGTTTGTTATTTATGAAAGATTCTTTTTATGTTTTTAGTGTTGTTTCTAATTCAGGCATTGATCTGAACACTGCTGCTGCCGGTGATGAAAAATCGAAACCTTTCCCAGTGAGTACCTTTCGTTAAGATCTCTTATTGCTTGGTTCAGGAATGATTATTCTGGTTTGTTCAGGAATGAAAATTCTGGTTTTATTATATCATGTTGATTGTTAAATGCATTTTTGTGAGGTGTAATAATGTCGGGGTTAATCTGAAAGGCAACTTTAGATCGATTGTGGCCAACTCTTGCCTAATTCTGCCATAATCTTCGACAAGGAGGAAGGATCAACGATCAATCTTGTTGGGAAAAGCAAGGGGTTAGTGTATGATGTGCAAGCATATTCAGCCATTCTAACTAGTGTTTTTTTTTTAGGAAATCTGCCTTTCGTTCTATAATCAACCCAGACTGGGATTTCCAAAAGATGGGTATTGGTGGTTTGGACAAGGAGTTTTCTGGCATTTTCCGGCGAGCTTTTGCTTCCAGAGTGTTCCCACCCGAGTTTATTGAGCAGCTCGGTAAGCTTAGTTTTTTTAGTGTAGCATCAATTTGAGTTTCGTTGTTAGCAACGTTGACATTATTCTAATTTTAGGTATGAAGCATGTGCGAGGAATCCTGTTATTCGGTCCTCCTGGAACTGGTAAAACATTGATGGCACGGCAAATAGGTAAAATGCTTAATGCACGAGAGCCTAAAAATTGTTAACGCGTTTGTTTTTTTCCCCCCAAACCAGGGAAAATTTTTTTGGACAAGGTTGAGCTGGGTCTCTAGCGTTCTTGATGCTTCATAATCTCCTTGGTGCCTTAGAATTAACTGTTCAGTACGTCGGCGAATCGGAATCAAATGTGCGTAAGCTGTTTGCTGATGCCGAGGAGGAGTGGAGAAGGTGTGGCTCGAATTCAGGGCCTGCACATCATCATATTTGATGAAATCGACGCCATTTGCAAGCAGAGGAGGTTCCATGGTGAGGAATGTTTCTCAGTATGGCACCTTCGAATACACCTGAAAGTCGTGTTCTAATAGGCATCAGCTGCACGGGTAGTTGTAGGTTGAGATCCTCACCCCTCCAGGGAATCTGCTACTGCTGCCCACACCGCCTTCACTAAGTACCGTCAGGTCCGGTCCTCCATAGAGTATGTGGGACCTGACAGAAGTTTTATGCGGACAGTTGTGGGTGCGGCGTAGGCGAGTAGGAGGATCATCGATCGTAGTTGTGGAACGAGCGAGAAATGTATTTTCTCTCTCGCTATGTCTGATGGGCAGCTTGTTTAGTCTGAAAAGGGTCGGTGTTCATGGTTGCAAGAGAGCGTTGACAGGCGCGCAAAACATAAGTCTCTGAAGCTCGCTCAGACGGGTATGAGAGTTTTAGCCCAGTCGCGACCGCGCGGGATTGCGCAATAGCAGGAGAGTCAGGAGATTTTTCTTCAATAAAATTTCGAGTGGATGGAGATTTCCCCTGCCCAGGGCTGGCGTAGATGAATGAGGGTATGAAGATTCTTTTCAGGAAAGAAAACTTTCCAAATTCCATTTGAAACACGGCAACCACCGGTGGATACCATTGTCCCGAGTGAGATCTTTGGCAGCCACCGGTGGCTGCCATTGTCACGAATGGGTTAAATAGATGTAGGTTGGAAATTCATCAGTGGATTAGGCTGCTTAAGTTCTCTAGTGTCTTATTTCTGGAATGAGCCTGTCAATACCAGTTTTTTACTCAACAAAAATGCAGGATGGGTTCTCGTGCTGTGCATCGATGACCGGTCGGCTTAACCAGCTACTCTCGAAGATGGATGGTGTGGAGCAGTTGAACAATATCCTTGTCATTGGTACGAACTCACTCCTTCGGAATTTTTCAGAAGGACTATTTATGGGGAACAATAACCTCATCCAAGTAATTGAACAGTGCTAATTTGACTTCTGTTACAGGTATGACCCAACAGAAAAGACATGATCGACGAGGCCCTGCTTCGACCCGGTCGCCTTGAAGTCCAAATGGAAGTCAGTTTACCGGACGAGTTCGGTCGCCTACAGATCCTGAGAATTCACACTTCTCGAATGCGGTATTTTTTTGATTTATGCACATTCTTATTTGTGAGTCATATATGTGTGTATTTATTCTTCCAACGGGCGTCATATTTCTGATCTGTTCAGTGAGTACAAGAAGCTGGATCCAGAAGTGAATCTGGAAGAGCTGGCTAAGCGCACGAAGAATTTCTCTGGTGCTGAGATAGAAGGTCTCGTGCGCGCGGCTCAATCCAGCGCGATGAATCGGCTAGTGAAAGCTGGCAGGGAAAAGTTCAGATTGATCCTGATGCCATAGATAAGTTGATGATTAATGCAGCCGATTTCGACTACGCCCTGGAAAACGATATTAAACCGGTTAGTTTTCTTTTGATAGCTTTGTTCAAAGTACCTGTAACTGTCCCCGATATTTCAGGCCTTTGGACGAAGTGATGAGTCACTAGAGAAATTCCTTCGTCGTGGTATGGTTGTATGGGGTAGTGAAGTGACGCGTATACTCGAAGAAGGCGCTCGTCTTGTTGAAGAAACCGTAAATCCAGACGCTGGTGGTTTTGTCACCGCTGTTTTAGCAAGGTAAGTATAATTGTGGTTTTTATTTGAAGAGGGAATTTGCTTTGCTCTGGGCTCTGCTGGCGTTTGATTCATCTCAGTTGTTGATTGGAAGCATGCTCATAAAAAGTGCTCTTAATGATATATCATATAAACGAGACAGTAGTACATGAGGTGGCAGGGGTGGCGAAGTTATTATCTGCAACTGTTTGGTAATGGTGTCCCGCTGTACCCCCTCCAGCGAATCTAGCTGATCAGAAACTTTGAACTGAATACACTTTAGCTGCCAAGGGGAGTCATGGTCTTGACAATACCAACTGTCGGGTTGTCCGTACTCCTATATAGGCTGTTGATTTTTTGGTGTTTTCGCGATGAATCTTATTTCTTATCCGAAATTGGTTACGAACTTTAGCAATTGGACCTCTATAAAAGGAAACAAAACACAATCTACAATAGTAGTAATATTCTTGGAGTAGTCAGTGCGTGGACGCGTAGAGATAGGATAGAAGTAACTGCCTCATGTATTCATCAAGTTAGTGATCTCTTTCTTTGTACTGTTTCAATGCATCAATAACATCGCTAGACGTCAACATATTTGGTTTTCTATTGACAGGTCCACCACGATCTGGAAAGAGCTTCTTGGCTGCTGAAATAGCTCGAGCTTCAGACTTCCCTCTTATCAAGGTATGAATGCTTGTCCAAGTAAATACTCTTCTCTTCTCTTCCAGTGTCTCCAAACAGCTATTCATTTTGTTGAACTGGTCTGTGTCTATTTTAGGTAGTATCTCCTGGAGATATGGTAGGATTTTCGGAATCAGCAAAATGTCAGTGTCTCCGAAAAGCGTTTGCTGATGCGTTCCGTTCCAGATTGAGTGTTCTGCTCATAGATAATGTGGAAAGATTGCTTGGTATAACGATTCTTCACCACACTTCGCGATACCAAGCTTTATGCTTTCATGAATTGCTGTTCGTTTCAGACTATTCACCCGTTGGTCCTCGTTTCTCCAATCTTGTTCTCCAAGCATTGCTAGTTTTGTTGAACGAACCTCCTCCACAGGTACTTCCTCAATAATCATATTCAGTTCCCGCCATAATTTTAGGCGTTCCGGTAAGTTTATGATGTCTGTATATCTGTGGGGACTATTGGGTAGGTATTCATTAGCGAATCGATGAGTTTGCATGAATCGTGAAGGTGTAATGCCACCGAAAATGTGCTCTAATTATTTCGAGATCCGCTCTACTTCTACTTCTAATTAAGCTTTTATGATCAAGTTTATTTCGGCATATATAATTAATTCATTGTCGAAAATCTTATAAAGTTAGAAATCCCCTATAGATATAGGAATGGTCTCAGATTTGTTTGGTTTCCTTTTGTCTGACTCAGTTCAGTCTTATGAATGTTTGGCACTTTTTTCAATGACTTGGGGTGCAATAGGTTCGTTCAACCTCTTGGAGAATCCTGCGTGCATCTCTTTCCATGGAGATGAGACGTAGGAGTAGAGTTGGGTTGAGTGCAGTTATTGACTAATAATCAATGTAAGCCCGAAAAGCAAATGTTTCAGCGAATTCAGTTCGAATTTCAGCGAATTCAATTCATGTAATAAAATAAAATCAAATCAAATCAAATTCAGGCCGCAGGATTTACAAGATTTGCAAGGAGTCATTAGACATATATGCGACCTTAGGGGCTTGTTGTATACGCCCCCAGAAGTGCTGTAGTGTCAAGTTGCGCCGCTTACTATAAGCACAATACAGGGATCAAATACGTGTACACGCGTCGGCTATTTGTTATCAGGCTTGGGTTGTATTAAAAGTAGCGTTGGCTCCTGCAGTCTGTATCCCAAAAAGGGAGTTTAATTCCCTGCGCTTGTCAATCTCTTTTTGGGATACGATGTAGTAAGTAGCAATGGTGTGATAATGATAGTTAGACGTAGGCAATGGTACGCGATAAATGCAGCCGGATGATTTATTCATCCATTGCTTTATACCGTCGAATAATCACTGTCATAAGGAACACCTTCACGCTATTTTGTGCTCATGTAGGCACACTTTTTGTTGTTTTCTTTTCAGAACGGTACTTTTTTTTATTTTGGGAATCTCAAGTCTTAGTGTGTATGCTCTCGCTTTTCTATCTCTATACTTTACACTTTGAGCAAAGTAATTTCCAATGTTCAACTCTCCAGCAGGTCGAAACGAAATAGAGAACTTGCGAGTGACGCTGAAACCAGATTGAGCAAGCCAAGCGTGAACCGACTTGTTGAGATTTTGACAGCCACTAACTTTCCCCACCAGATTGTGGCCCCGAATCGCGAATGTTTCTCGACTCTTAGCAGCGTTCATACAGTATGAAATCTCTTTATCACGACATAACAGTCCTCCCGCAATGCACCTCTCCTTCCCTTCCTCCTCAACCTGCTCGAAAAAGAGACAAAAAAGTGACTACAAAAAAGGCACGGAAGCATGTGAAAAGCTGGCCAGATTTACTTATACGAATCAATTTCTTCATCACAACTCCTCTGGAAACTCGTGTCATTGTCTCTACGCCTGTCACGTTTGCGCCGTACCAGAGCATCTCAGGGGTTTTTACTGTCTGCACCTTCTTTCGGAGGGACATCAATCCATGTAGCGTGTTACGCGGGTTGCTCCTCTGCCCTCTCCAGACACTCTACAGCACGCATTGCCCGATGTTGCGGTGTCACGTCTCTACCATACAAGCCACCCAGGGCGTTGTTGGGGGTGAATAGAGTCCATTAGGAAGCTATCTGCAAGCCTGAGGATCTGATGTTGCCGTAGCTCGACAAGTACTGGCTTTTTGCAGAAGAGCTTTTATTTTCACTACGATTTACGATGGAAGTCTCCTATCTTATTCTATCGTCTCTGACACCAGAACATTTTACAGTTACAGCTCTAAGAGGGCAGATTCTCCTTTGCCAATATAATCTTCGGCGCGGCAAATACATAGTGGGAGAGCGTTTGTCAAGCGATTGTGTAAGGGTAGGAAAATTCACTCACGGTGAGTATCAACAGAAAGAAAGCAGCTTAGGGATTTTGGATCGTCTCTCGGAAGGATTGTAACCGGGACTTGAGCAAGTCATAAGATTCTTTTCGTAGCAGCAGTTGAGCAAAGCTGCTGAGTGCTTCAAGGATTAATTTATGCAGCCATACTTCTCTAGCTCAACCTGGATTGCGTGAGAGGTGATGGCTGTCAGTATCAACTTCCACACAGTTCAAGTTTGACTGGCTTGCGTGGAAGTTGATAGTGGCAGCCATCAACTCCCACACAATTCAGGTTGACAATCCAAATTGCAAATCGTTACACGGTTGTAGCAGAGGTTGGCCGGTAATCAGTCGGGTTACTCAGGACGCTTGCCTTGATCCGTCCGATTATTTACCCTTGTTCACCTCCAGCTTACTAAAAAAAATTGGGACGGGGAATCAGTTGAAAGAAGCACTCGACGACTCTTTTAGCTACCACCGTGCATCATTCTATCACGGGGACAGCGGTTGGAGAATGTCCACAAATCCACAATCCGCAAGTTGCCGTTGTGTTGGCGTCGAATACAGGATTGGGATGATGCATACCGCTGATTTTAAGACCGGATCGTTTTAGGGTATTTACAAAAGAGTCAAGGTGGAATTTTTCCGGCCAATATAATCCACTGCAATTGAGAAATAACGAGATGTAGCTATACCCAAGTTGCATAAGAATCTTCAAGCAATAGGAAAAGCCCTAGAAGTTTCAGGATAGGAATCAACAGCGCAGCGGTAGCGAGTTAAAGGCACGGTCCAGATAGACATTTTCCTCTGTTCCAACCTGGATCGTAGTTGACAGGCGGATAACCGTTGACTTTGCGCCCCTTCGTTGCTTGAAGGTGTGCGTCAAGACACTAGAAGCTTGCTCGATCTGCAATCCTTGTCTTCGTTCGCAAGCCCTGCCTTCCGCTGTTGGATGCCACGCGACGCTGTTGCGGCAGTGGTTGCATTGCGGTTCCATGTCATTGGGCCTAAAGTAATGCAGCTAGATTCGTGAAACTCGTCCAACACGCTCCATCTTCATTCTAGGGTCTAATGTGGCTGAATAGAGGGAGGTCCTAATTGTGAGCGTAGCTGAAGGTTTCTTTTGCTTTTTTTTCCTTTCCCAGAACTCCCACCTCCAGCTTCGCTGCTAAATGCTCTTGCACACCCATATTATCCTGAGGCTTGTCTTTAAAGGAGACTATTCCGTCTTATGTGAGGGTATGAATAAGTCGTATGGCGTCGTATGAACGTGATCTACACTAATTAGCGATGCTTTGAAGGGGTGGGGTCTTGTTAAGATTCTGAAGAAATCTCCATGCTTTAATGGTAAAGATCCCTTCAATGATTACTATCAACACATCATTGAGAAATTGTCAAGTAAAGCGGTTGAAGTGGAAGCGCGTGAGGTAGCTACATGATTGTGATTGAAAATCGTAGGGATTTGGTCACTGCGTACTCAGCCATGCACAAAAACTTGCGGTTTGGTTTGCGGGCGAATTTTGTGAGCTTTTACAAAAAAAAGCCTCTCGCATGAAAGGGAAGTATTGGGTTATTCTAGCTTTTCGGATTGGAGCCGCAAATCAATGTTTCTGATTCTTTGCCAGTGTAAACCCTGTGGGTGCAGTCTGGAAGCTGATTTGTGTTGTAGGAATAGACGATAGCAGTAAATGGACTAAACTTACATTCAAAACAGAAGCATATTGTTAGACGTATAGTCGATTTCCGTATATTGTTTGGTGTATTGTTACTGTTTTCGATGCGGCAATTGCAGGATCATCGGCTTTTGGTACTTGCTACATCCTCGAATCGATCTTTCTTACGGGAACTCGAATTGATAAATGCTTTCGGTACGTCTAATAGTTATATTCTCTTGCACATTGGTCATTAATTTCTCTTTTTTTTGCGGAACATTGTAAAGAGGTTGAGGTTACTGTAGGCCACGTGATCGATGTACCTGTGTTGACAACGCCAGCTCACATAATGCATGTCCTTCACGAGTCTGATGTTTTCACCCAACGGGAACTGGACAAAATGAGCAATGATCTGCAGAGTCTTCTTCAACAACAAAGGTGGGAGAAGTTTTTGCATTTTTTTTTCATCTGCCAGGGGTTATTGGCCTTTTCCGTTGCAAATGCCATTCATATGCTCTCAACAAGAATTTGTTTCCTTCGTTTTACGGCGAAACGGATGCGATTTAAAGATATGGTCAAGTATGAAAGTATGTTAACGTTCAATAACCTCGGAACCAGTTGAAGGCATCAGTTCCAAACATCAGATGGAATGCACCGTATACTTCGCTGATCTTTGAAAAGTAAAAACTGAACCAGCTGATAAGTGGTTCACCGGTATCTGCGTTCATCTTCCACTCATGATCGTGTTCCAATGGATACTATAGGCGAACTGTTTTTGTTGATTTCCATCGTCCTCTCGATGACTACCGGTATGGTTAAGGATGATGAGAAGTAAGTGCAAAATATCAAACAGTAAGTCGCAGAAGTACCTGCATCACAGTGGAACTATTAAGTTTCTACTGGCTGTTCATCATCACTTCAAGAAAGGTCTCTTTGTTGCTGGTGAGATTTAGAGGAGATTCGTGACGGGTCTGAAAAGTCGCATCTGTCATGATGTACAGCGATGTGCGAGTTTATAGCTTGATCTGCCGCACCTTGGGATGAGAAACATGGTCAAAACTTTGTTTTAGTTAGGCGTGGTGAAACATTATTCTCTACACTTGAAGACAGAAACACTTGGACATAGTGAAAGGAGTTCTCAACCAATAATGAATACTTGTCACGCTCGCGAATTCTACGGAAGAGAGATCCACGCTAGCGCACATGACCTCCAGACACACTCCTTCCCTCTTGTTATTGTATTTATAGGACGGTAATGACGAATTATCTTGCATTCGCATACGTCGTACATGACAATGATGTGCATCCGTCGAAAAATACTCACTTAGACACTTACACGTCCCGTCCATGTGCTTGGGGTTTGGCCTTGCGTGGGTCCCAACCAGGGTCAGTCCTATCGTTGGTACATTTCAAAAAGTTTTAACGACACCCCTCCTTCAGGAAAAGTTTCCTACGACCCGCCTCTCCGTTTCCAACCGAATTTATTCCAAAATTTTACCCGCGCCGCTCCCCACTCATCACATGCAACTTCTTACAACCGAAGCAAGTACGACCCCCCCCTCTACAAACTCATCAAAATACGACCCCCCGTTGCTACTTGTAGCAACATAGGGTTGACCCTGGTCCAACTTCTTTTCATCGCTCGCGGTCTTGAGCTGTGGTTGACCAATGAACAGACACCTTAGGGTGTACAGGATCAAATACGTTGTTGCGATAAGCTAGAGAGTCTGCCCAACGTAGTGGAGTACGACCGAGGTGACGCGCCATTCGAACAATAGGTCACAGAAATATCAAAAAAAATCGAAATATAGTCAGCGTGAATCGGGATTTTTTTTGCAACGAGGCAATATTCGTTACGTGAAGATTTCATGAGCAACATGCGCCCGTGTGGTTCCTGATCTTGAATGAGGTCTTGCCAGTGGTAATCTTGGGTCAGCTGTTTCGTTGCTGAATTTGATAGATGGGCGGGTACGGTAACCCTTGCCTGGATCCCATGTGCGAGATCGACATACAGGACACCTTTCCTGTCATTTGCATGAATCGGAATGCTTTGTTTTCTTGGTATTTAAATTCATCAAACTCTCCCCATTTGCTTGTATGGGAATGAGCACGAATGCAGTGAAGGGATGCACTACAATTTGTGATAAGAAACTCGAAAGCTCTTTTTACGTTTCAGGGTTGCGCTGGAAGAGAAATAATACGCATTCTATGTGCATCCCTGAGGCGCAGTAAAATGAAGCGACCACTTCGATAGAAGACTGTCAGGGGTTGTCTTGCTTCCAATGTAACTACTCCTATGGTTCTTGCCGTCAAACGATAAATAGCTCCAGAAGCTGAAGCAACATAGATTCGAGAACCTTTTCGTCGTCAAGCTGTTCATTTACAAAGTGCTTGATGGAAACTTCAAAAACGGTCTCACTGAGATCAGTGTAAGGTGCTTCACGGGGAACATAGAAGTTCTTCACCGAGAGCGACCAGATTAAGACGTGAATTCACAGTGATGTTTTACGGGAAAGTGCGAAATGTGACTGGCATCGTGGGTTCTCCGCTAGATGCACAACATATCATCAAGATCTTGGAGGGTGATTAGCTTCCGTTCCCATTTGATTTTTTTTGGGCAAACAGCACTTCCTGATATACTTTTCAAGTTACATGCTCGTTAGCAATACCTCAATATACCACAATCTATAAAGGGTTACAGGAGCTAAAGAAGTGACACTATGCACTAAAGAAATGAAAGACGATTTTTTGTTTTAGAAAGTTTCCAAGTCTGCGAATGTTTTTTTTTCATGTCGTCTTTCTTAGGCAAAGGGCTTTGTAATGATTCCAAACTCTTCGAGTGGGCAAGCAAAAGCGGGTGGCTGGCATCAGCTGAGAACAGACATTCTGCCAACTTTGGTTTTCTGTAATTCAATTTTCGGAGATTGGTCGTGAAGTTTGAGGTCAACCCGTGCATGTTTCAAGCTCATTGATCGCATAGAAGTTCTGCAAAGGTAATTGATTATTGTCCAAATTGAGAAGAAAGCTTTTTTGTGATCTAGAGAAAATTTTTTCTAACAAGTTGGTAGAAAACAAAAAAGAGACTCATTTTTTTTCCTGCCAAACTATGCCGAGTCCTATGCGGGACAGTCTGCAGCCCATATATGGGCTGCATGGTCTGCAAAGTGTAAATGAATGCCAGAGTAGGACTTCACCTCTACAGGATGAGCAAATTGGTATTGTCAGGGGATACTCTAACTTATTGCAGTAGTTGAAGGAGTCCCTAATAAGGGAGGGAGTTGGAATGGTGAACGTTGGTGACAAATCTTCTGAGACACTTCAAACGAAGTTGACTTACGTTGGTTTGTCAGTTATTCCAGGCTTGGGCGTCATACGGACAGATTAGATGTGGCTCTTGCGCTAGTATAAGGATAATACAGATTGTGGATGAGTCAATTCAGAGCGGTAATTGGTATACTCGGCCATGGATTGAAGATTGAGTCCTACTGCTTAAGAAAAAACGGCGAAGACCACAGACAAACTATGAGATTTGAAGGTGACCGTTGGACTTAAAGCTGTGCCTAATTAGATTCCAGGACGTCAGCGAATCGCCACGCAAACCAATCTCTGCTTTCCTCAGCTTACCATTAGCGAGAAGTCTGTCAGAGTGCAAACACTGGGTCGAATTACTGCATAGTCAGAAAGGAAATCAGTGAATCGAGTTCCAACTGAAAATCAATTTGTGCAAAGGTCATTCTTAAAGGAGACGGATCGGACAAACCCTGAAGCCATATGCGGGACTCGAATTTTGGTATGCTACCCACTCAAAGGCGAGGTTACTGCGGTGGCTCCTTCCACTCCAACGGTGCATTTACCTGAGATAATGTATGTAGCAGCGTGAGCACGGTGCACGGAAATACCTCTACATCGAGGCGTGGAGATACCATAGCTTACTCATAGATTCCTTCAATATGCATAGACATTCCGCAGATGTTGGAAGGAGCCCTTTCATAACTGTGGGTTCACAATCGCAGAGCTAGTGCCAATTTCGCGTGTGGGAACGTAGGCAGTATCACTAGGATCGTATCAAACTTTGCGAATAGAACGATTAGCTAGCAGCGAATCGCTAGCGTATTGTTGGTTTCGCAAAGTCTGACACGCCTGCAGATTGGCGTTACCTTGCAT